AATTTAAAAAAAACACACAAAAAAATCAAAAAAAAAAATTTTAAAAACCCAAAAACCCCCCCCCACCAACAAACCCCAAACCCTAAACCCCCCCCCCCCCCCCCAAATTTAGCTTTTCATCTTATCTTTTTATATCTCGCTAACATCTTCATAGGAAATTATCCATTCTTTAGAAATTATTAATGCGTGTTTGATAATATGTTTTTAGCCATGAAAGAAAAATGAAACATAAAAATTAAGATATTAAATTACACAGTTTGTTAAGAAAAAGAGCATGTACAAAAAGAAAAACAATGATGACGCTGATATCAGAAATAGAACTCACTCACACTAGCGTACAAAAAAATAATAAACAAAATATTTATCGATGTGTCCTGCTCGTTTAATGATAGATAGAGACCTCTTTACAACGTTAGCTTTCAAAATGGAAACCAACACACGCTATTTTAAAATATGAAAGAGCACAAAACAAACCACGATTCTAATTCATCATTGTCAGCGTTGATTTTACAAAGCACAAAAACGAGAAAATTGTAAATACACACACACAATTCTTTTCACTCGAACTCCTCTACTTTTTGTGTTTGTTTGTATTTAAACTAAAAAATAGCGCAGTACACACGTACGCGCAAGATATCAAAGAGAAACAAAGAAAAAAAAAAGAGAGTGAGCGAAAAAATATTAAAAAAATAATAAACAAACGAAAAAACGAATGTCTTTCTAAATCAGGGCCGTAAATATTTATTTAAATCAATAAATGCACAATCTGGGATATTGTTTTTATGCATTGTTTTATCGCACTCTTGTAAATAGCCAACTAATACTTCCAAAGCGGGATGACGTGGCATATTGTGAGCTTCTGAAATGAAACAATTTATTTGAATGAATGAATGATCATTATGGCTCGCTCTAAGTAAAATCATTATCATCTGTCTTGTAAACTTTAGCTTCTTTATTCGTTGTCTAACTTTCATCTCACAGTCAAAATAAAAAAACGCGATAACAGCAGAATTTTTTAACTTCATCAAAATATTTTATTTAGCTCTAAACTATGTTTATTTTATCTTTTTTTACTTTTTATTTAATTTAAAATAATTTAATACTAAATAAAATATTTTGATGAAGTTAAAAACACTGCTGTTATTGTGTTTTTTATTTTGAAATTATTGCCCATTAATTGTATTAATATCTCATAGTCAGTTACACTTCCTAGCATGAATGCTCTGCTTCGTGACTGAGGAACTTTCTTTCTTTGCCCACCGATAACACCACATATCATCAAACAATTTATCACTCAAGTCAATGAAAAATGTTAAATACCAAGAATGGCACTATTTAACGTCGTTGAAACTGGCTCTCGTTGACTGGGATCTAATAAATATCCCATTGGAGAATGTTTTGGATCAGAATATGCTAGTAGACTAAATGCATCCTAAAAGTTAGAACAATAATTTTAGCAAATGAGAAACATTGACTATTTTAATGAAGAATCTTACCTGTAAAATTTTATCATGTGCAAGATTTTCACCGTATTCAGTTGTTAATTGCTGTTTTAATGTATATAATTCTCGACCGAATTGTAGTATTCTATAAAGTAAATCATCATCTGGTGAATGTTTTGTCTCAGATGTGTGATTTGTAGCATTTAGATCCATATGTGTTTGACAAGAATCATACACATCGTCATCTTCGTCGTCATTTTGCCCACCACCAGTATATCCATTATTTTGATTTGTATTGTCCATATGTTCATCACCTAATAATGAATGATTCAAACCATTTGACATTGTCGTTGGTACTGTTCGAGTAGAAAATCCATTTGTTGCTGTTGCCGGTAAATCATCAATATCCATTAAATTTGCCACTGTAGTAGAATTCACTGTAGTATTGTCAGCAGAAGTCTGATGAGTTTGTGGCTGAGAAATGGATGATTCTGTTAGACAAGACGCTGTGGTTAGTTGTTGCTGTGCTTCTGAGTTAGATGCTTCTTCGACTGTTGATACAACTGGAATTTGATCAGTTATATTTTCTAAAATATGATATTCATTGAAAGCATTAATAAAAAAATCTTTGTTTCCCGGTTAGAACCATGCAGAAAATACAAAAAACAGCTTCTGCGCTCAGCTTCAAAGAAAAATACCTGTTCTTTGTAGACTTTTTGCTTCATTAGCACCAATCTCTTTCGTATGTTGTCTGGTTGTATACGGACTATTTGATCTAGAACGATTATTATTAAAAGAGTTTTTCGGTATTGTAGATGATATTGTTGTATGCATAGGTGACGATGGACGGATCGGTGAAGATGAATGTTGACAACAACATGAATTTTTCGTAGATGAAGATGGAGATAAACATACTGGACTATTTGCTCGTTGCTGACGATTATGAAATGAATGACTTTGTTGTGGTAGCGACGAAGAAGATAGAAACGAATTACTGGTGGTAGTATGTGGAGTAAAACTATTACAGGTTGAATTTGTATTTGTTGTGGACGGTTTACGAATAGTACGAATTTCACTTTCTGTACCATTGACCATTTCAATAAATTGTCGAGCTTTTAAAATAAATAATAAATTTGTATTATTTAATAAATTTGGAAATAATTCACGAATTTTTTCTATAGCATCTGTTGTACGTCCTTCAAGAATCAATTGTTGAATAACTAAAATATAGTTACAAATAGAGTTAAATTTTTAACTTCATTCTACTTAGCATTTAAATAAAAGAGACATAAAGCGCATGTCTGTTAGAGCATAATATCAAACTCTTATACTAAGAACCATTGTTTTTGTCAAGACATTAACTAGTACACTTTTCTCATCAAACTGGCACATGATATTTGTCAATCGAGTGGGCTAGGTTTTGATAACAAAACCTAAATAGGACGCAGAGTAATTCTGAAAATGACAGAGTAGGAGGGAAGTTCATCGAAAACAGTATAGCACAAATAATTCTATAGAAGATCATCGCTTTTCGTCTGCAAGACTTTCAATATTCAATCACACGTTACGTTGTCTATTTCTCATTGATGCAAGTTCCTCTTCGAATACGTTTTCAACATTTTTTGTAAACTGTTCAGCTGTTGCACAATAACCATAATGTACGAGATATGTTGATACAATACGTCGTAATTGTAGTTGATGAATTAATTCTCCTTCTTTCAATGAAAAATTGATTATTGATTGTCGAGTTTTTTCACGATATTCCTACAAAACAGGAGAACAATATGATTCTAAAGTTACGTCTTGAGAAACAACAAAACTCACATCCATATATTTTTCAATATCAAATTTGAACGGCATTAAACCAAAATTTGCTTCAACTGCTTCATTGGGCGTTTGAAGACCAACAGTGGGGTAAATTTCTGTCTAAAACAGCATAGAAAATAAGAATATTCAAATTACAACTCTAATAAAGAATAAGCTTACTGGTATATCTTTAAATGATGTGCCTAAGCATAAAAAAAAAGAGAATTGACCATGTATATCTAAGACTAAACAAAAAGTAGACATACCAAGATTGTAACCGTTGCGAGTATAAAAACATGTATTATCGAGAAAATTGACACAACAACCAACAAAGTCGCCCGTCGTAAATGTTGGTCCATAAACAATGCCAGAACCAGAGGAACAAAAAGAATGACCATCATCACCATGATAACCGTACGAACCTTTATCCCAACCTAGATACGCAAGAAAATATTAGTCCTCCAAAAATTTGACATGCACTGCTGTAATGTCTAGAATAACTTCTATAAGTCAATTTTCTTATATCTTTCGACTTCATATAGACAAAACGTTTTCAACGATTGCCCCTTTTTTTAGTGAGAAACTGAACTGAAGTGAACTGAGTTTCTGAGAAGAAAAGAAGCGACAAACCCTGTCTAGACAGAGCAGGTGTTTTTCCTTTTAGATTCATATTTATTTAATAAAAAATTTTATTAAATAAATATGAATCTAAAAGCAGCTGCTGTTACTACTTTAGCAGCTGCTACTATTTTATCAATTCTAAAATTTCTACCTCTGAACATAATGTTTCACGTATAAGGTATTTTTCCGTTGTTTTACCTGGCAATCTGTTCAAATTAACTTCGCTCGTCGACAAACCAATTCCCATATAACTAGAATGATAATAGTAATTAATTAACCACTCTCATCTACTAAATCAATCATCTTTGTACTTACCCATCTCGTCCTTTACTCAAAATTTTCACTTCATAATAATAAATACCACACAAGGGTGGAATCGGATAATCGGACCGAACACTCGCTGCATCTTTATGAGATTTGCCTGGACCTAAATATACAGAACAATACACCTGCTCTGTTAGTAGCAACTTCACCACCATAAAATTTCCAACCTTTATATTGAACAACCAGACTATTATGTGATAAAGTTAATGTTGTACTTTTTTCTTTGCCATTCCATTTGGATGGCAACGGTGTATCTTCACTGACATGCGGATATAATTGAGCTAGCTGATTCTTTGTATTATTATTCAGATTGTTATTGCTTGTTTTAGCCCGAGAAAAAGATGTATCAATGTCCGATAGAGACATCATTTTCTTTTTTCTTCTAATTTTCCACAATCTCAATATCAAATACAAAGCATTAATAATAAACAAACAAGTGTATATGTAACTATCGACCATAAATCATCATCACCGAATTGTCCAGTATACAAATGAAAAATCGTCAACTCTCTCATCAGCTGATCACGACAACCATCTTGAACATGTTACCGAAGCCTCTACGGCTATGCACTATAAAAAAACGACGTATATGTTCATAAGGAGAATAATTATGAAACCTTTTATAATTGTTACGGGTTCTAAGTAATAATTTTAATTCCACAATAAAGTACCACAACACACAGACACGATAGAGCGAGAAAAAAAATACCGAATAGCAACAGAGCGGTCGCTGTAGTAGTAAATAAGCAGTAATACAAGGGTATGCACATCTGTCTAGCAGATCCAGAGTTACTAAATGTTCCTTCACAAAAAGAGTAGGATGTCCAAAATTGCCAGATGGTCCGCATATTGCGGATAAATTCCGGATTTTGAGGTTTTCCCCAATTTGTCTACTATTTATCCGTATTTTAAGCATTTTCTGCTTTTGCTGTTTCTCTCTGACTTAAAAATTCGTTTAAACTCATCGTTATCATGCACTGAAATTCATAATTATTTCTTATCAACGCCAGAACGGTGTCCTCTCAGTTCGTCCCAAATTGACTTCTCAATTCGTCCCACGAAGCTTTTTTTCTCAGTTCGCCCCATATATTTTTTTCTGATCTATCAGATATCTATGTTCGCGCCTAAAAATAAATAAAGTGTTGTACCATCGTTTAGTCTAATATTAAAGCTAATTAAGTGCAAACTGATATGGGACGAACTGAGAGAGAAGTGTTGATGGGACGAACTGAGAAAAAAAGCTTCGTGGGACGAATTGAGAAGTCAATTTGGGACGAACTGAGAGTAAACCCGCCAGAACTGCTTAAATTTATTCATTCTAATAAAAAATATACGGTCCTAAAACAACGTGTCAATGAAAATCGAGATTTACATTTCTGTTTGTTGTTCTCTTGTATTTTATTGAGTACAAATTTAATTCTTTTTGTACAAGTTTAAACAATGTAAGCAATTTGCACTGATGACGAATAGAAGAGAAGATACAAATAATCTCCCCCCTTTTACTTATAGCTTTGTCACGTTGCAGTAGATTACTCCTCTTCCGATATTTGTCGCAACTGCAAAAAAGGTTAGATTTTTTTCTTGTCCGATTACCTTTAGGCAAAGCCAAAACAGTTTCGGCCGGTTAGAAATAAGATTTTTAAATACTTCGATGGAGATGAGCCTCAAAACTTCTGTAAGACGTTTGTGTCCGACATAGATAATTATATAAAGAGACGAAATAAATTAGAAAAGTCATACAGCTGCTGTATAAAGAGTTTGATTAAGAGGTAGAAATTACGACACGAAGTTATGCTGTATCAAATGATAATACTTTAATGAATGCGTACGTAATTTATAATTTTTTCTTTGGTTGGCAGCTGCAATGTATTTATAAGAAAAATTGTTAGAACTACAGAATATTTCTAATCTACTTTCCTTCAATTATAATATTTCAACTGTATTTCTTTTACTTTAATCAAATAACCAAAAAATAGACAAACTGATGGCTTCAACATTTAAATTAGATAATCTTGATAATTATATGAAAATAACACAAAATAATAAAAAACTTCAGTGAATATATGTGTTTCTATATTGTTCAATCATATAAAAGTAAAATGTAGTCTTTTCTATGGATCCACTTTCTAAAATTGAAAGTTTCTTCAAAAATTCGTTCTGCATTTGAATTTTCATAGTTGGCTTCGCTGATGGGGGAACCTCCCTAAATGTACTCTCGTTTTTTTAACGAATTGTAATGGGTTGTAGGTAATCGACCATGCTGATTTCGAATATGATATTGATTTGGGCTCATAGGCCTTTCCCAGTCGATTTCTGGAAAGCCAGTTTTCCAGATACCTCGAAAAATCTCCAAAACCTATTTTAAATATGTCACGATTGTAGCCCGCGAAATTCTGATCAAAATGAGACATCTCTCAGCTCTACACGACCTTTCTCTGCAAAGTTATAGAGTTTACAGGACAAGCCCTAAATGTTCATTGTCACCTCAGAGCTACAGAAAGAAAATGGAAAAATGAATTTAGGGCTTTTCCTGTAAACTCTGTAACTTTGCAGAGAAAGGTTGTGTAGAGCTGGGAGATGTCTCATTTTGATCAGAATTTCGCGTGCTACAATCGTGACTTATTGAGAAAAGGTTTTGGAAATTTTTTGAGGTTTCTAAAAATCGGCTATGAAAGGCCTATGAACCCAAATGAATATCATATTCGAAATCAGCATGGTTGATTACCTACAACCCACTACATTTCGTTAAAAAAACTAGAGTACATTTGGGGAGGTTCCCTCGTGAGTAGACTGTACAAAATCCTTTATATTTAGATCATAAGTTCGTGTGACAAAATAATATTCTACATTAACCTGTTGGTGCCCACATTTTTCTAATTAACTCATAGCTTTCATTTTATATAAAAGTACACGAAGCACTAGTACTTTAATTTTGCTGATCTTTGATCTTCATGTGATATGTGTGTGTGAACACATATAGACCCAAAAATGTTATATTTACGTCAAATTTTGACATAAGAAACGGTATTAAACAATATACAAATAACGTATTACTAATAACCATACACTGTGCGTATCAGCTAAAGGCATGAGGGATGCCACAGCTAAGCCACAGACAATATTCAGATACTATAGCTATATGAACTAAAGCTGATGGGTATTTAAATACTCACTAAGCACAAACGAGTTAAAAATGAGTCTTTTTTTTTAAAGTATACGTATAAGATAAAAATGGTATTTAAAGAAATTTGTAATCGTACAGTGCTATATTTTTCTTAGAGAATTGATTGATTAAGCTATTGATTAAGCAACCCAACATATGCTTACCATAAAACCTATCGACAGCTCCTAGATTAATTAAGTTCTTTTAGGTTGTAAAAACTGATTTTTTTTTGTTCTTCTTAAACTACGTCATGCAAATTTCACCGACGTTCTTTCAGGTTCCAAACGTCTTTCTCAGTATTGCAGTTTTCTCAATATTGATATATCTTTATACCAACCCCTCGCCTCCTCCCCCCTTCTTTATATAAGAAAGAAATTAATAGAAGTTATTCTCTTAATTGTAATCCTTCATTGCATCTTCGGTTATTAACTTAGTTCTTTTATGATATCGAAGTGGTGAAAAGTGTTGACCTTTTTCTCTATCATTTTGAAGAGACAGTATGTATGTTTTGTTTACGTCCTTCAGATATTTAACGATTTAAATATGAAACGTTCAAAAGCGGAAGCACTTACCGAATCGAATAAACGGTATGTTAATTGAGTTAAAAGCCGATCAACATTTTTTCAAATAATATTTTCCTCTTTATTATAGGCGTCGTACATCGTCATTTTCCGATGATCCTTTATCAGTTGTAAAGCTTTTTGTTTTCGATCATTTACCACCTAATTATTATAAATATTTTCTTTTCTATAGTTCGAAGATGAATTTCGTTCAACATTGTCATCTAATTCAATGCAAACATTCGAATTGTTTACAAAATGGTTAAAAAGTATGTCTGATGCGACAGCAACTGTATTTGTATGTAAGATATATTTTGATTAATTCTAGACAGTCTCGAACAACCGAATACTGAGATATTAACAAATTTAATTAAAAAAACAATTGAACTTATCGTTACAGAATCCTTATCATCTACAACAGCGCAAGACAATAATAATAATAATGTTGTTTACACAAAAATTATTGGTTTAACTATGTTATATGTAAGAAAAATCGAACGCGATTAATTTCGTTATCTTCCACCGTATAAAAGAGAAATACTTTTTGCTTGAACTGATCGTATCGAATAGCTAATAGTCCTAATAGTTTTCTACAGAAGAAAAGCATCTTTCTCTCACTAGGTAGTATTTTTTAACAATAAAAATTGTTCTTATTTAGCTTGATAATATGACGAGTCAGTCATTGTTAGATATTGGAAAAGTAATTATTGATCAAATGATTAGTTCCACTTTAAATAGTGATATGTACGTCTGTTAGTTAAACAAATCATTTTTTAAATATAAATAATTATCTATTGTTTTGTTCATTATAGTATGATTGAACTTCTTCGTGGTATTTATATTGATTTGAATAAACGTGATATGATTCCTGTAGCATCAAAAGGATCAACTTTACCAGCGTCAACATATGCTAACGATCTTGTGAATCAGATTATAGAACAATCTGGTGCATCAAATATGTAAGTCGATTTATCTAGAGAAATTAAGAGAGTTTAATTCAACAATTGTTTTTATACTACTTTTCTTTTTTCAGTTGGCAAAGAGAAAATTATACCAGTTTATTATCAATATTAAAGTAAGAAAATTAGATATTATTTCATTTACATTTATATTTATTTCATCTTTGAGCAGAACAATGCCAATTAGAGTTGATCCAGAAAAAAAAGCATTTGTTGATTTATTATTTACTATTGATTATGATCTTACACAAGATTTACCAAATTTTATCTATGAAGTATTAAAACTTTGTACCGAAAGTCGATTAAATGAATATATTTTGAATAAAATATTAAAATATTTTATTGAAAAAGATGAACATTTGTCAAAGTAAGCAACAATTTTTTCTTTATACTTCAATTGTCAAATGATTTATGTTTTAGTAATCAACATTATATTTCAAGTACACGTTTATGTATTTATCATTTGGTTAATGCTATTGAACTTATGCCGGATGTTGCAAAAGATTTATTGAAAGTTTTAAAAGTAGAATATTTTGAGATAAATAATTTCTTTACTTATTCTACTTTAAATATGTATTTTTTTAGGGGATGCAACGTGAATCATTGACAAATTTATTTTCACCATTTTGTATTGCCATTTTTTTTGCATTGCCAAATGATCGACCGTCCAAAGAGCTTGTGAGTAACCCATCTTAGTTATAGTAGAAATAGGTTAATATTTTTTCTTTTTTTACTGTAGTTTATGCGTCAACTTAAATCCATGTGTGAATTGTTATGTCAAACATTTGAAAAGAATGAAGGTGAAAAGCGAGATGACAACGATTAAGGAAGTTTTATATAAAATTTTTATTTTCAGAAGCATTCTGGTTATTTAGTTTTACACAAATTGATTATGATAAATTTTATACACAAAAATTGTTGACATTAGCTAAAAATGGGTACGTAATTTAGCTTTGTATAGAATGATTCAAGTTCTCATCTTTACAGTCATAAACTTATAAAATAACTTGATGATTCGTATTGAAGGTGATATATTTCCGTGTGATTCAGAATCAGGTCAATTATTTTCTTGAAATTTTGTACAGTAGTTCAATCTGATGACTAATGTCGGTAGGTACTTGAATTTGGAGTAAACACTAGTCAGACTATTAGTGAGGCAAGGCAACTAATACGACCAGTAAAAATGTGAGCTGAGATAAAATCGTTTTACTAAGTGCGATTTGTTATTAACCATTCATTCTTGTTTTTGTTTTAGACTATTTAGTGGTGATAGTATTTTATCTGGTCTAGTTGACTTTTGTTTTCAACTGTTAGATAATTATGGTACATCACAAACAGTTGATTCATCTGAATCACCATTTTCTGTTCCTGAATTAATGAAAACACTTGGAACACGTTGGTTGTCAGAAGTTGTCACGGTAAATAGACTCGATAATATACTTGTGTACTGATTATATTTTGAACGATGTCTTTTATCTATTACCTATTCAGCTTTATCCTAATATTCAAGTAGATGTTATCAAACGTTTATTTGATCGTATTTTAACAAAAACGAATGATCGAACGGTGAAACATTATGTTGGTAAGTATTTTTTGATAATTGAGACGATATATTCATCTATTGTTTATTTACGTATTTTAGATCAGTTATATGATTTAGTTAAGATAAATGCTCATCGTTTTGTTGAAATACCCGATCAATTGAAGCAGCGTTTGAATCAAATATTAGAATTACGATATGAATTAGCCCGCGATGTTTTAAAAGCATTTAAACCAATTATCAAATTAAGTCGTAATACACCATTCAAAGAAGACTTTTTTCAACTTTTAAAACGAGCTATTTATTTGCCGTAAGTAGTTTTCAAAATGTATATTTGAATATTTTTTTCAATTAATTTTTCATGCTTTTTTAGACATCTCGATTGTCGTCGTATGGCAGTTGATGGTTATTTAATGCTTTTGAAACATGCTTTATGGTTTTCAAGACCACCGAGTACACAAGCTAGTCAACTAGTCAATTTTGCATTATCAGATGTAAATCAGTTAGTTACATTATCAAAGTTTAACATTTTATTCTTTTTTATTTTACAGCATAGTAGTCAATTGTCAAATATAACAAGCTCACAACGTAAATCTGAAGGACGTTGTATTGAATTATTAATGCAATTACGCCGAAGTTTAACACAACAATGTGAAGTTCGAACAGCCGTTTATGGAGTATGTAAGAATAGAAACATGTGCAAAGAATCGATAAACAATGTTTCACATTCTCTTTTAGGGTTTATTTCCAGTATTAAGAAAAAATCCAATATTATTAGCACCTATTCTAGATGTATTATTAATGCAAGTAAGTAGATAATATCAATTCTCATTGTTGTTCGTATTTTTTCTTCATACTAAAAATGCTTTATTATGATTTTAGCTTAATTTATACTGGTCTGATGAATCGAGAAATATCCAAACAACATTCGATATTAAATTAGCATTAAATATACAATCACAACAGAAAGGAAAAGAAGAAATTGAAAAAGAAAATATTATAGATCCTTTAGTATGTATATTGAGTTAATATAAGTTTTATTTATATAAATTGATTTTTAACATAATTTTTTAAGGGTCATTTATTACATTGTTTACATTTGTGTTTAAAACAAGGTGAAGATTTATTGAAAAGTAATGCAACAATGTATGATGATGATCCGGATGTTGAAATGTATATGAAAAAAGCGACCGATTTATTCAATAAACTTGTTAGATTATTTTTAAATGATAATATTCTAACTATACTTGGTGTTAGTATTTTCTTTTCGTTTTCTGTACTTAATTAAACCCCATTTTGTTTATTTTGTCTAGATAAATGATGCAACGGATGAAACTGTTAGTGCAGCTAAATACATATTATGCAATGATATATGTGATGCATTAATTGAATACAAATTTATGAGAAGTATAGATAGGTAATTTAGAAATAGAATAGTTTATTATTTTGCTTTTTTGATATCTTGATCAATAAAAATGCTTTCTTATCCTAATCTGATTTTATTGATTTTAACTTTTTTTTTTTAAAAGAAATTCAGCTGATGAATGTTTTCAATTAATCAAACTGTCAACACAAATCAATGAATTATTTTCAAAACGAAAATTTCGGCATTCATCAACAAAATTAATATCATTTACATGTTTAAAACGTTTATTATTAACTGTCTTAACAACAAAAGTTCAATTTGATGATAATAGTAATAATGATGATAGTATAAATTTAGATGATTCGACGACAAGTATTGGTATTGATCGTAATCAACGACAACAAAATAAAACTGAACCAAATCATATGGATCATATAAGATCAGAGTCTGAGTTTCGAATGTTCGTATTACGTTCATTAATACAAAAATTACGTTCAATAACAGCAAACGGATCTAGATATTATTTTGATGCTGAAAATGTACGAGATGAACGTTTACTGAGTACATTAACAATGTTACACACGTGAGTAACGGACAAATTAGATATATTTTGTTAAATGTTGAATAATATGTTTTAGTCTCTTATATCAAGCAGTTATGAAAGATGAAAATGCTAAATTGCGAGATTTATTATTACAAGCAATGGTTGAAATATGGCGAATAACAATTAGAGATCATCGGTCTGGACCAACAGGCATTATTAATAATGCATTACATGGTATATTTAAGCGTTTTTTGCTTCAAAATTTGAAAACATTGTTCTGATATTAAAAATTCTTTTAAAATTTGAATTGAATCAGTAAAAATTAAATTAAAGTAGTCAGAAATTAAAAATAGCATTTAAAACATTCAAAACATTTTTGAGACATCAGCTAGTATAGTTTCAAGCCAGGTACTTTGGATTGGTTTTCATTTTCAGGTCGAAATAGTGAACTGGATTCCATTGATTCTGATACAAGTTACAGTCAAACTCATGCTACAACGGCTCAATTCGCTGAAAATTTCAAAGTAAGCTATGAATTTTATGTCGATAGCGTGTATAGTATTGAATGTCTCTATTTTATTCTTTAAGAAACTTTTTGCTCATATAGCAGAGGAGGATGCATTGTTATCAACATCGACTGTTTCAGCAATTGGACCATCTGCTACACAGTGCGTTAAATCATTAAATTCTGTTGTAGAAATACTAGAATTAGCATTGAAAGAAGGACATCATATTGCTCAAAATGAGTATCAATCATTTTCAGAATGGATACAACGAACATGTATGGAAGCAAAATATGGTATAGTTATACTCAGTCATACAATTGTTTACCTTCATTATTCATTTTGTTTGTTTTTTAAGATGATCTTCATTTATGTAAATCTCTTATTCGTTTATTGTTCAAATTAACGTCGAAAGTGGCTAATCATGCTCCATTATTGAGAAAAGTAGCAATGGATATTCATGGAAAAGCTGAAGATATCTCAGAGGATGTAAGCAAGATTAATAGACTCTAACAATTGATAAAATCTGTTGTTTATTTTAGGCTGTTGTTTCAGATGCAAGATATTTCGGGATTATTGGCGAAAAATCACATGCATCTGTATGTAGTATTTTATTAGTTGAAACTGAACGTTTAATAAATAGTTTAGAATGGATAATTCATACACAATCAATGAAAGAAAAAAAAGAAATATTATTTTGTCAACAAATGTCATATTTAATAACAACATTTTCACAATTAACACAAACAAAAATTGTCAATAAACCGTATATTACAACGATATTCAAATTATTGATAAAATTATACAATATATTATGTAATTTAACAAAACAGGTATTTATTATATAGTAAAGATGACAGTTAATCAATGTGTATTTAGTCTGTGAGATGAGAATTGAAAAGCATTAAGCAATGTCAGTATCCCTTCCACTACAATTATCGACAAATACGTTTAAACTGTCATAAGGTGCAAGAAATTCAAAAATCAAGTAAACATTTTTTGAATAGAGTTCATCGAGTTACGTGGAAAAACATTAATTTTAGTGTTTAGAAAATGATTTTCCTGTCAAAACAAATAAAACTATTATATGAGGATGAATTGGGTAAAATTTAGTGGAATTTTCAAAATCAGCCTGTTTCTCAGTTGAAATATTATTTTTTTAAAATTTCCAGAATATTTTTTTTATTCTTCATGCAAAACTGAGTATAAAACACTAAATGTCACATATTTAAAAGCTAAGGTGACTTCAGGATCCATTAAACACAAGCAGAATGGAGGTAAATTTCAATGTCTTCTTTCCAAATCTATCTAGTTCCAAGAGTTACAAGATAAAATCATCTGTTTTCACTTGATTACTATCAGCAAAAAAAGTGCGTTGAGATTTTTTTATACTGCTTTGTTGCTGAGAAAATTAATTTTTTTAATATCAGTGATCAAAAAGAAAGTCGAAAACGAAGTCGGATGACATGCTTTTTGAATTTCTGACATCTTACTTCTGATGCAGAACGTAAGAAATCGCACTTTTACAGTTGCGTTTATTCTGATTTTGCTCTGCATTCCTGCAGTTGATTTCACTAAACTATAATGATGAAAGCACCTTCTAACCTATTTCTTGTTACAAACAGATACTTCAATGAGGATTTTCAAGAGATTTCTTTTTAGTTCTTAATGAGCTTTACAATATGAAAATGTGAGAATTTACTACATCTTTCTCAAAAGATGTTTGTTAACATGGATATTGGTATCATAAACTAACTAACTCGTACTCTCCTGAACAAAACTGCATCAAACTTGTTGTCATACAACTATCCCAACTCAAAAGCTTTCTCATATTGAGCGTAACTATCGTTCGCACATGCACCTATCGTCAGTGACAACTAGTTCTACATACACTATTCAGATAGATTTTCAACTGCAAAGAATGATTTTTAGAGTCTAATTTTTAAAACTAATGTTTATTCTGCGATACTGACTAAATTCGATCATAAATTCGTTACACGTATTGGCATTCTCAAACAGTAAGTCATTTTCAACAGACTATCCAAAGATCTCTTAAAAAACATGAACTGGCAATTTATTGTACGACTGTATCTGATGGGTTCTGCCATTATGATGTATCATTACTATACTGTTATTCGCTCAAATTTCAGCAGAAACTTGCTCCGTTTAGAACCAATAATATGGATAGTTTTGACTTAGAACTCTTAAAAATACGTACTTGTATACTTAACATTACCAAATTCAGAGCTCATCCTTATTAGCTTAACGTATCAATGGAGAGTTACATTAACGGGCGTACCGTAAATAATGTCGGTCTCGATATTTTTGCTCTAACTCCTGTTCCTTAAGCTCCCTAGACCAAATTCTTTTTTTTAATAGAACCGTCGTAAAATTCTCTACAAAATCATACCTAAACTTTAATTTCAGAACTCCAATTAAGAAAAATAGGCAAATTATACGAAAGACGAAAGAAATGAAAACTTTGTATGTTTGGTATTTCTTTCGACTTGAACCTTTTCTCCTGCTATTTCCGTAAAAACGCGTAGCAAAAGTGAGAACTCAGTTTGTGTTTGATACTTTCAAATGTGCTCTTTCTCGTGGTCTGTAAAATTTTTTTTAGAGCAGATGGGGTGCTCGAGAACGAAATTTCAAAAATACGTGTAATTTGCGTAGTTCTTGATTGAAGTTCTGAAATTAAAGTTTAGGTATGATTTTGTAGAGAATTTTACAGCGGTTCTATTAAAAACAAGAATTTGTTCTAGAGGATCTAAGGAACAGAAGTTAGAGCAAAAATACCGAGACAGACATTATTTATAGTACACTCGTTACACACACCGCCTAGAGAAACTAATTGAAATTAATTGTGGATCTATCATTTAATTATGAAAATTTGAGCTAAGATACATTTTAGTATCGAAAACATTTGAATAAACTCTTGTACATTACATCCGAATGTATCGTTTTTTAAGATGATTAATGGTAACAGAATTATCGAAGAATTTCATAAGCTGGTTTCGTTGTCTGGTTCTCAGTTACAACAAACATGCTATAATTTTCTTACATATGCTGTGGTATGTTAAATGATTTTTGTTTTATAGATTGTGTGTAGTTATTAAGCTGTTTACTTTTCTAGGATCTCGAATTAGCTGATGAAACAGAAACAAAAGCAACAAAAAAGAAAAAAAGTTCTAAAATAGCTAAAACGAAAGATAAAAAAGCCACTGTAAGTATTTTGGTATTATTCTTGTCTAATAAATATTTATAAATAGATTTTTACAAATTGTTTGTTGTTGTTGTTTTGTAGACGAATAAAAAGAATCTATTGAAAGATACTGTTCTACCAAAACTTATCTTTTCAATTGAACAATATGAACGTCTATTAATTGAACTTGGAAAAATGACAGATGTTCGTAACAATCTGAAATTATCTTTCATTTTCTCACTTCTTTATTCGGTGTCATTTCTTGTTTCAGACTGATTTAATGTTAACATTCAAATTGAGTGCTGTACGGGATTTTCGTATTAATCTCGACCAACTTCGTGATGATAGAAATAGTTCACAACCAACGTTAATGGACGCATCAAATCGGCAATAACTAACAAAAAAAACTTATATCTCTTTTTCTACTCTTCTAATTCTTGAAATAGTCTATTTTTGAATCTCATTAGTCTTTTTTTAATAACAATGCGTGTAAATTGAATATTTTTATTTAATCAAGAAATTATACTTTTCTTTATTCTAAATCCCGAAATTTTGAATTTTTTGTATAAACACTCTATGCTTTTTTATGTTTTATGATGTATAGTTTATTATAGGCACTGCGCCCCGCAACCTTGGTCGAAACATCATCAATAAGCCTAAATGTATCTCTGTCTAAGACTTGGCCAGTTTCGCTGATATCTTCTAAAATAGCAATCCTTGTCTGTAAAACTATAGTTATTAATTGTTTGTAGGTGATGTTATTATTGCTGATAGGTGTTATGATGATGATTGTAATTTGCTGAAAATGTCATTGATGAATGCGGTGTTGCTATCCATTTAGGTAGCCCCATCAGCGACATTATTAAAAAATTTTCGATTAAATCCTGCATAGGATCATATGAGATCTTATAAGATCCTACTAATTCCTACGTTATTTTCTCAAAGGAATGGATAAGAAGTTGTAGGATCCTGTCATATAGGATTGCTACGGATTTATATGGAGATTACATATGTTTCCAACAGGATCCTAAAAAAACATACAAGATCCTATCTTAGGATCCGATCATAGGATTCTTTGACATTAGTAAGGATACAAAGCACAGAAACAGGGTTGCCAACTCTACTATATTGGTCAGTTGTCCGTCGATATTTCCTCCAGAGACCAGTTGCTGAGACGTCTCATTTTACACAGATTTCTACTCATTTGAATTCTAAATTAGAAACAGTGAACTAAGAGACCTATGTTTCATTGTCTCGTTTCATCACTATTTTAGAATATAACTACTTTTTATTGTGTGGCTTCAAAGAAGTTATATGTAGAATGTGTTTACAACAGATATAACGCCTTATAGCGCTCTCCATCTGGTTGCTTGTCACGATATAATCGAATAACAGACAATGAAATTGTTTTGTGTAGTACATTTATTATTCTCTGGTCATTTATATCGATCAAAAGCGAGAACGAATACTTGTTGAGAAGGATATAGACGGAAGTGAAGTGTTTTACTCTAGTAAGCCAGCGTCCTGCTTGGGAAAGAAATTTGCCATGTTATGCCAGAAGAATTTTTTACCTGTCGAGAAGACCAATACGTTTAAAATCATAAAATGATAGCCTTTATTATTGTCAGCGAGTAGCCTCAATAATTTATCTGATTGTAATATAAAGTGCATATAAAGATTGACTTTTCTCGTCCTAACAATGTGAGTTTCCGCGATCTAATACATCTGTAACTGTTGATGATTTACAGCATGTAGAATACTTGTTTGTATAGGGTGTTTAACGGACAGACGATATTGGATTATTCAGTCTTATTCATAAGATGCTAAATTGACTTTAGCAACGAACTATTTCAAGCGCCATACGTGTGGATAACACTATGGAAGTCAAGTGTAAATGGTTTCTTCACATACTATATCGGTTACTCTGGTGGTGAAATGCACGCGAGAGCAAACTTGTCTTTTCATTCACACACTGTAGTCCCATTGTAGTCGTTTGCCGAATCAAATGAAATATAGAAGTTTTGGATAGATCTTCTAAACAAAGTTTTCCAAGGGTCTGAAGGAAGTTAGCTTGCATTTTTGTATGCGAAAAAACTGAAATACAGAAACACAAGTTTTTATTTGAAGAAAATTCAAATGAATCCGTTCTGTTCACTTTTAAGAAAACAGCTGTGCAAAGTGCACTTTTACCATAGTATAGTTATCCGTAAAAGGAAATAGCTTCCGACTATGGTAATATTTCGTTAACCTTTCGGTCGAGTATTACTTCCTTCTAAGGCGTTTAGAAATAGAATAGACTTAAAAGTGTGTTTGTTGTTCTTGTAAGTGGATTCTATACCGATGGACTATATAATCTTGTCCTAGTTCCTAAAGCCGTCAGTACTGGCCTATGTGTAGGATGAGTCAAGGAACAGCAGTCAGAGTCGGACCTTCAGAGCACTAAAAACGTTTTGGTCTTCCACAGTTTCAACTGTTTTTATTGTGAGACCTCTTTCTATGGGCGTCATTTTTCTAATGAAACTTCGCTTTCATTGTTTCTCGTTTTAGACCTCTCTTAAGAGTACTATTTTAATGACTCTTTTACAATTTAAAAGCGTGGAAGTCTTTCCAAAACATAGTTCATCAAAAGAACAACTGATGCAAATGTTTAATAAAATAAAATAATTTATCAGTTTCATTATACAAAAGCAGCCCACGTTGTCCACTGCGAAAAAAGAAGTGCTGTTTGGTAAAGTTTAGGGTACTTTTATGTGGTCCTAAGTACGCCACAGGATGATTCTTTCGAGAGCGTATCAGACTTTACATCGACTTATCCGGATTGTTCGAGAATAACAGGGCTAGTACAACTTGAGTTCCTGATGACGAATATCACGTTTAAAAGATTCTAAAACAACGGCACGGTGACCTCCTAGACCTATCCCATTTTCCAGCAGAATAGACCTTCTTTGGGCATTTTCACCATTTTTTAGTGAAACACTTTCATGGGCTGATACCGTCAGATTAGATTCTATATGTGTAGAGGTACAAAATCACTAACGGACACAATGTTCCAAAATGTTAAGTACGCTCTCAGGGAAATTTTTAAAAAAACATTCAGTGATAGAAAAAATAAACTTTTAAAGGCGATTTTCCTCGTTTTTCAAAGTTTGACCCACAACGAAAGGAGAGAAAATAAAGAAAGTTTACACAGCGAAAAAGACATGCTCGTTTACATACACTAGTAGTTTATTTACAATTTCCATTTTCTTATCTAACATTTAACGTTTACTTCACGGTGGTATCATTGGGAAGTATTTGAATGCAAAAGTTTCAAGAGTAGCTGAAGAAAATTTATATACGCCAAACTGGTTTTTATGCACATTGATAAAAGAGAGAATATCAAGTTTCGAATGCAACGTTTTCTCAGCGAGTCTATTAGGAAACTTGCTGTTTTTTCTAAACCCCATAGATTTATAGTATGTTTTTCTTGAAGCAGTAGCGATTAGAAAGGCAGACCAAGTTTATTGGTATGCTACTGCTTCACTGGATTCTTCAAGGTGTTTATGAAGTTTAATCCAGTACATGTACAGGTAGTCTCTAATTGAATATTCTTGACACAAAGCTAAAGTAGTTACATTCTCATATCCATACAAACTGTACACCAACCTTAGCCCTGTATTAAATATGTGTTCGATTTCGGATCGTTGTTTTTCGATGTGAAAAAACCAAGTAAAAAAAAGCCACACGAAATGTGGCAATGAAAACACGCAAAAAAAGTTCTATAGGTACATTTTTATAAAAAATTTGTGGCTTTCCTGTTGCGACTGCAGAGTGGACTAACGTCGCGTTAGTTTTGGGAATATTTATAGGAAGCATGTGGTTTTCTGAAAATTTTTCGAGAGCTTTTAAAATAGCTTCTGTTTGTACTTGTAAATATTTTATATTTTCTGAAAGGCGTTTTTCAACAGCACCAAATAAAAGTAATGTTAAACCATTAGCAAATAAATTTTGAAACTATTTGAGCGAAGTAAGAAGGCAGAAAGTGTATGTGAAGACGGAAGAGCAGAACTGCCAATACAAATCCTTGTGGAGCTCCAACAAGAATTGGAAATACTCGAGATTGCGCATCACCGTGACTTATGAACATAGATCGACCTTGCAGCGAAACCCTATATCCATCGTCGAAGGACCAGCAGCATTCCCAAGTCCCTCAGAGTTTTCATCAGAGCAGGATACGACATCCTGTTGAATGTGGTTTGAAAATCGACAAAGAAATTGCCCAGTGTCGGTCTATTACAGGCTGCCACTGTCAATCTTAAATCTTTAATAATGGACAGAATACGAGGTTGAAGCCTCCTACATGCCATAAACCTTGATTGTTCATCAACTTGAATACCGTTGTTCTTTCTTACATCATTCTTCAATTCGTTCTGCCATTATTCTTTCAAATCGCTTCCCAAGATTTGCTAACAAGGAAATTGATCGTAGACGATCTTGTGTAGGAAACAGTCTGTCCTTCGAAAGACACACACCCATGCCTTTACTACGTTCAAAAAATGTACCTTTTTCAGCGCACTTATTAAGCAAAATATTAGTGATTATATTAAGGTATTCAAGAAGTAATTGTGTTAAAAGAAAAGCTGAATTTTTCATACTATCGAGAGCTTCTTTAGGTTTAAACACTAACCACTGTTTATAAACTTCTTCATATTTTATTTTTTCTAACGAAATATTCTCCGTTTCGCCTATCTTTTGATAATACTTTAAACAATCCCGATGAAATTTGTTTTTAGGATCATGCGTTGGCGCAGAAAAGTGTTTGTCGTAGTAGTTAGCGAATCTGTCTACGATTTTCTGATTGTCTCTCAAAATTTCATTGTTTTCAATTTTCAAACCTTGAAAAGATAGCGAATAAGGAGAAGAAGTGTTATTAACGTGCGCCCAAATATTATTTCCTTCTTTCATATGTTTTATCTTATTTTCACTTTTTTTTTGTAGAAAACTCAGCTTCTCTTGAAAAAACACATCTCTCCAATAGGAAAAATTTTGACAATCGTTTAACAAACGTGTGTGTTGAAATTTTCTTTTGCATTTCTTGACAGTTTTCGCCAATATCACTAGATATGGCGGCCATGGAGGTCAAAATGTTGCACCTGTCAAAGAGTGCAGTTAAAAACGTAGAAAACAAATCAAAGAAGGAGTCGTGATCGGAATTACACACTAACGCATTTCAATATTCGTAAACGGCCTTCAGAAAAAAATGAAAGACATTCCACTATATTCTTCGAAAGAATCCATTTTCTCCTGCGCAAAAGGTGTTAAAATCAAAACTGGAAAATGATCCGGATTTCCTTCTTCTAAAACATCTGAATTCCAATCTGAAAAATCTTTTCCAATACCAAAATCAATAATAGAGTTTGATTTTTTCGAAGGGGGATGCTTATAACTTTCTAAGGCGAAGTCGCACAGAGCCACGTCATGTCATATTTAAAGATTATATATATATCATAAAATCGAGTAGTTTCTTACCAATTTCATATGAACTTCTTATAAAATTTTCATCTGATTCTGACAAGAAAACTGTCTTGATTTTGCAAATCCAAGCCCATACTCTTGTATTTCCTTATTCAATTTGCTGCTCTCTTCAGCTGTTCTTACCGTGCTTTAAAACCATTTCAATCTCTTATACTTATCGAATAGGTGCATATTGCTAGCGATCAGTCTGAAGAGGCGAAATTTATGCAAACGAGCGAGATGTCGTGCCATGTATTCTTCTGTCACACAATATTTTTTTCCGAACTTCAATCTTTTCCAATAGTCACGATAACGTTGGAGAAGTACATCCGATCTGCAGGTAGTGGACCATGAGGGTGAGTCTTTAGACTGCTTACCTGCGACTTAGATCTTATTACAGAAAAACAATATCAAGAAAATTCTATTCAGGTGCGAAAGCAGCAAATTGAATAAGGAAACACAAGAGTATGGGGCTGGATTTGCAAAATCACGACAGTTTTCTTGTCAGAATCAGATGAGAATTTTATAAGAAGTTCATATGAAACTTATGAAAAGCTGATAAGTATTTTGTATGTTTTTTGTGAGTGCCTTGTGAGATCCTTATATAAGAATCGATGTCTAGGGAGGTAGATGTAAATTATTTATAAGAATAATGCTGCAGTGATGATGGTACAAAAGATGGAAAATCTGCTGACAAATTGTTAACAAAAACGAGAAATAAGACGAACTCGAGAACACTTCCCTGTGATACTCTCAAAGTTACTTTACCAGTTTTATAAGACTTACCATGCACAATAACTACTAGGCGACGATCAGACAAATGTGAGGTAAACCAGTGAAGAAGATCATTACAAACATCGGCTTTAGAGAGTGTTGATAGCAGTATTTGATGATTTACTCTGTCAAACGTTTTCGAAAAATTGTCGACCCTCCCCCAGTCTTAGGAGCCTCGCGCCAGCCGTGCTAGTAGTGATTTATTCACAAGAACCTCAAAAACAGCAGCGCTTCTTTTCTTCCTTGCACTATCAACGAATGGAATATGTTTCTTCGAGTTGTTATATCAAAACTTTCAACCGATTATTTTAAACATGCATTACGTCAACATCTAGAATAATCTGGAGTAATTCCGGTCAGTGTCAAACGTTTACTCAGTCTTTTACTGATAGCTCAGCTATTTATAATCGGAGAAAAACTATTTGTATACAGACAGATAGAGCTGACTTTTGTCTATCGATTGATATAAAAGTATATTAAAATTTATTAGGGTTAATTGGTTCTAATCAATCTCCAGTCGCTTGCTATTATGTATGTTTTCCAGCTCAGTTGCAAGTATTAGTAATTAGTTAATTACAGTTCAAATTGAACGACATGACCAGAATTACCCCAAAGTACATATATAAAAAAAATGACGTCATTTCATTTCTCTAAACTCTAATTAACTAATTAATAATACTTACAACTAAGCTGGTTCTCCGTGTAGTGGTGTCAGTTGTAACCATTTTGGCTGTGTTGACCGGAATCACTCAAAGGGCATCCGTTCACTGAGCAGAATTACTCCATTCGGAGTAATACCGGTTATTTAATAGCAAACGACTGGAGATTGATTAGAACCAATTAACCCTAATAAATTTTAACATACTTTTATATCAATCGATATACAAAAGTCAGCTCTATCTGTCTGTATATACATAGGTTTTCTCCGATTATAAATGGCGCTTATTAGTAGTATATTATGTACAGTGAATGCCGTTCTCTTGGCTTATTTTCCCTTCCCTCCTTTTTCATTGTACTTGTTATTCAGATCACTGTATTGTAGTCAGTAGCTATAACGTACTAATAAGATTGGGAGATGCCACCTGCCCGCCAAGTAACGTCAGCCCTGTTCGCACTTCTTCTTATTAAAAAAAGAACAAGTGCTATTTCTCACACAAATGTCTCAGACAGAGATTTCTTTCATGATTAACATAATTTGTGCATTGTGAATGATTAGTCATATAAATGCACATAAACAGGATCGTTAAAGAAAACAAACGGTAGAATAGATATGAGATAATAATTTAAGAATATACACGTGCACTCATGTAAAAAGAGGAAGGAAAAAGCAAAAAAAAGAGAGTTTATTCACTGATAGAACACTGATATGTTATGCCATTTCTAAGGTGCAGAATTACACGTGTCAATTGATTATTATTGTTGATATTATTGTCTATTTTTATTCTCACATTCAGTTCTATACTCTTGAGATGGCCGTTGTGTCTACATTGTAGACATGTTGCTGACAAAACTGATTTTGAAGATTTTAATAATAATTCAGGTGTTGATTATTATTTAGTGCCAAATATAATTCATTTTATTAGATGGAACATATCAGCGTTTAACTTCGTCGATATTGTGTGCATTCGAGCTGCTTATATTGCTCAAAAACCCGATAGAATATTAATTCACACAAATATAAAAAAATTCTCCGGAAAATATTCGGAAGTATTGAAAGAATGGCCTGATTTATATAATATTACTGAGATAGTTGAAAGTTATCCACCAAAAAGTATATTTGGACAACGTTTCAGGGGTCCATTTGCTTTATCGCATGGGTCGGATATTGAACGTATTCGCATACTCATGAAATATGGTGGCATCTATTTAGATAGAGATGTGTACGTTGTGCAAAACTTGAATAAGTATCGAAAATATGAGATGGTTCTGGGCTGGATAAATAATTGGCCGCGTATTGGCACCATGGTCTATCTTGCTCATAAGGATGCTCGTTTTCTCCCGTTATATATTAAAACATATCAAGGTTCGTATAACGCTAGTGTATGGTATTATAATGCTGGTAGAAAACCAGTTGAGGATATACTGTTGAAACGGCCAGAATTAATTCATCGGGTAAAAACAAAATTTGGTGTAAATGTGGAAATAACACACTACTTATACAATACTCAAAACTGGAGTGACTGGAAAAAACAAGATACAATTCATTTGTGTATAAATCATCGCAATTATATGTATCCCGATAACTTTAAAAGATATCCGATATTGGATGAAAATACAATTTTAACGTACAACTATACATTTCGTGAGATGGCCATGCAAGCCTATTTTGCGAGAGACACATTGACAAATCATTTGAGCAATACAACATCTATCAGTACCACCTAAGTCTTTGAGAGAATACAAGGGGAATCGTGCGTTTAAACTGTGAATGAAAAGCTAGGATGTTAGACTTATTGTTAACTGTTTTATAAGCCAAAGCAGATTTTTAAAGAACTAGCCTGAAAGCAATCAGATAAGAAACTTCATCAATGGTTGTATATCATATATAATATAATATTTCGCAGAATTGAATTCCTCTGTTAATGTTGGAATGGAGAACAAAAGTGATTCGTTATGAGTGAATGTTTAGGTTTAGACTGACTTCATTTTTAATATGAGACGAAAACCTTAAGCTTTCTTCAATTCAAACATTCTTATTAATGATATTAATGATCGAGAAGACGGGAAGAATTTTGAAAATGACGCTACAGACACACACACATATGATACCTTCTTATTGCATAATAAAGCTGCTAAATATCATCTTATTATTGGTGTTAGAATAAGATATTATTGCTTCCTTTGAGTAGTAGCTGGTCAATTGTATCAAAAAGAAAAAGTGGCATTTCAACCCGATTTATTATATAGTGATATTATAGTCATGATCAAAAACTTAGACTGGGAATATATAATCATGCGTGAAGATAGAACAACGCTTTATGCGATGTATCTATCCATGTATTTTATTTGAAGCAAGAGATATACAAAAGTAGATAGATACTCGAAGAAAAGTGTCAATCAACAAAATCTAGAAGTTTTATAACTAAAATAATATGTATCAAACTTAAATTTCGAATGAATAAACGAAAAAAAGAAAAAATTAGAAATTTAACTAAAAACAAACTCTTTAATCATTGCAGTTAACTTTCTTGCCTTGCCTAAAATAAAATGAAAATTGTTTTATGATATATGTGATGACTCACATTAGTGACTTTAAGGTTATTATAATCTGTTCATATACATGATAAACTCAGCAAGTGGTAACAAAGAAATTGTGAAAAAACTGTAGCAGTATACTTTTATTACCGCTACCATTCATTCTTCATGACAACCAATTTACTTTTGAACATTACTGTATGATTTTATAGGAAATTTTTATGTTATAAAAATAAAGCAAAATGGAACGTTTTTTGTTTACTTATTTTGTAATCTACTTTTGAAATAATTGTTCTCAAATAAAAAATGATATACAAATACTATGTTTAGCAACATATTACTATTTGGCATCGAGTAATTTGTTATAAAAAAATAAACTTACTGGAAAGTTATAAGAAAATTCTCAAATATAAGTTTTAGATTTAACTTTGCGCAAATTGCAACAGTATTTTACATTTTTCTCTGTAATAGCGAGAAAGAGTGAATGAAACTACCTTGAAATCATCGTTGAATTTGTTTTTAAATTGAATTTTTTGGCAGAAATCGTACAAATCTACTTTTTTGGCGTGTGTATATTTTCTATAATTGAGTTTTTTGTCGATTTAAATAGATTCATGAGAGAAATATTCGCAACATAACATTCTTTTGTACATTCTTAATAACATGTTTACTAGATACGATGATATACCCTATTATAGTGTTCATCGTAATCTTCCAATCTATTCACCGTCACTATTTAGTTCGATCTTGAGAAATGTTCACTTCAATCAGGTAAGCGAAATATATTACTGATTGACAATTATATAATACTAGATTTTTGAATAATAATTATAAGTGTATAATAGTTGATTCATCGGCCAATTCCTATTATTTTCTATGATATGATTTCTGTAGGATCCTATGATAGAACATGATACTAACGAGGGAACCTCTTGAGGTTATAAATCGCTTTTGAACTCGGACTGCTTGTATCTTGTAGACCTCAGTGAGTAGTGAAATACCCTAAGTTAGTTCATCCCCATGGTGCTTTGTTGCTGAGATATTGAATTTTTAGTCAGTTTTTGCCTATAGAGCTTGGATTTCGAGCAAAATTCGACTTTCGAATTTTGACTT